TCGGTGATGGCTCCTTCAACAAAGACAAGTCACTCAATTGTAAAAAGGCACATCACTTATGATATAATATTTTCAACGTTGAGTTCAACAATATGTTAAATTTTTAAAGTGACATTTCCGGGTTATCTGCGAAATGATATTGAAATATGTGTTGTATTTGATGCAAAAATCAATCATTGCATTAGACTGACTGTTCTTAGTAGTGTTTAAAAAACCACAAATTAAAAGCTCGTTGATACCTTACATATAGCTGATCTTCAAACTTCAGAGACAAATTCTGACATACTTATTTATTAGTTTGAAAGTCTATACTCAATTCTAAAGTTAAATTTTATTAAAACGGAAAATGTCAAAATACACGGAACACACATACACTTATCAAACAGTTTGACACTATAAGTTTTTTAGAAGTCAGTATCAAACAAGGTGTTACATTGACTTACTCAAAATTGACACCAATAAAATCACAACTGAGTGTTTTCAAAGTATTTGGAAATGATAAAGCATTGATTGGAAATACCCTTTTTATCACTGTCACTGATTTAATATTTGAACAGTTATCATCAACAAATTCAATCATCAATGTGAATAAATTCAACTTGGAAGGTCTTAATATCAAATTTCCATCAAAAACCACAACTACACACATTCCACTCATTAACATGTTACTGCCAATGAGTGGTGCATCTCTTCCTACAGACACTGCACTTGTATCTAATTTCAAAACATTGATTAACAAATCAACATCTGTTTTTCAATGCCCAATGATGTACTCTGCACAGTTACTGACATGGAAAATTGCCAAAGAAAAGACACCAGTACAGAGTATAAACAGAGTTATAACATTGAAATTTCAACCGCCGTGTATAGTGTGGTTAGACTTGAAAACAATGCAGAAAAGACAAAGGATTATGATATTGTTAATGTGAAACAGGACTGTGTGACAATTCAAATAATGAAAGGAGGCATTTATACATTGAACATACACATGAGTGGAGAAAGGGTGATGTGTACTGGTGATGATGCAGATAGTAAAAAGTGTAAAATTGTAATCAATACTTATGTTGATACAAATTAAATTAATTTACTTGGAAAGAACATCATTTTGGAGAAAGACCTCAATATTGATAATGTAATATCCTATGTTAAAAATAACGGGAGACGTCTCTTTGAGTACATTTGAAGCAACACAAATGTACATTGAAATGGTTGAGAAGGGCATCAAAAGAGTGGAACAATATGCATCTTTTGGATCACTTTTGCTTGTAAAAATTCACACATTTATGCATTTGAATCGTTTGATACTTCACTCTTACAATACATGGCTGGTGAAATTGTATTTGATGCATCAGACAATCAGGTTGTTTTGAACGTAAACAGGTTTGAAGTGAACACCACATTTGTACAATCGGCAAAGGATCAGTGCATCACTCCGATTATCAGAAAGGCATTCACAAATTGTGAACCTATGAACATAGACGCTGTATCAGAACTTGTGTGGAAAGGTTCTGTAACATTCACAGACAGGACAATTGTGTATTACGGCT